CGAAATTGGTATAGGATACAGCTAAACCAAAGCAATTATCACTAAACCAGGTTACGGTATGAAAATTATCAAATCTATAAATACATAACTGTTCAAGCTTTTGCTTTAGTCTTTTTTACTGCACGAAATAAAATAAACTATATGAATTTTTTACATTCGCCTTTCTTCTTTGAGATTACAGATAAAACTAAAAGAATGCTATCTATGTCATGTGATGCCAGTTATAATTATATCTGAGTAGAACAGCAGCATAGTTTTTTAAATTAAATGTGGTTTTATTCATCTTATAAAATAAGAATATAGACTCGTGTTTACTATTGTAATCTAGCTCAACTTTATATCAGCTTTGCTCAATACTTAATTTTTCACGAAGGTGAAGTTAGCACCATATTCGAGCAAATCCTTCTCATATTCGTCCAGGAACGTGTTCCAAGTACAACTCGACGAGCTCTATCTACTGGTAACCTTCGATCAATCGTAATTTAAATCGTTGGTGAGAAAATCTCAAAATGCCAGATTTTCACTATGTATATGGTTACTAAAGCCTGCCCATATCCGTTCAGGAAACTGTTCCAAGCGTTCCAATCAGTGTTTCAAGTGCACCTCGATTGGCTCTATCTAATGTTGTCCTTGGATCAATCGTAATCGAAACTATTGGTGAAAAAATCTGAAAATACTAGATTTCACTGTGCATATGGTTACTAAAAACTGCGCATATTCATCCACGAGCGTGTTCCAAGTGTTCCAGCCAGGTTGCAAGTACAACTCGACATGCTCTTTCTAATGGTGTCATTGGATCAATCGTTATTCAAACCATTATTAACAGAATCACAAAATAGGATCTTTTCGCTGTATGATAGATATACTCTACAACCAACAATCAATCACAAAGCTGACCATTTCACAGCTACTCTTGTTGACTCTTCCCATCGTTTATTTTTTTACAACGATCTCGAAGGTGTGGAGGAAATTGATCAGTCACCTCTTTTTGTTGAAACAGCTGTATATATATTAAAAAATTAATCATTTCTTCACTTCTTTTTTGTAACATATCTTGTGCAGAGCTGCTTAATGATTTGATTAAATAAAACGTACTAAATTTTGTAACACAGCTTTTTATGGTAACACAACACAGTATATATCATCTTTGGTTAAAACCTTCCCGTTCATAGTATTTCGAAACGGTTAACGAATCACGTTTCAAACAGTGAAGTGACACAGTATTTAAAAAAATATATTTGAAGACTTAATTTTGCAAAATGACCACGCGATACATTAATCATTCCTCACTCAGCAACAATGACTGCTTTCTGCATATTCTAAGTAGAATGTTTCATAAAATATCAGAAACTCATCCAAAAGTCTGATTCTCACACTAAAGAGAAAAGAACCTTGCTAGAACAATTTTCGTTAGTTTACTTCTTTAGTAACTGTCGGTGCTGATGAAACTCGTGTCGCATATATCTTTTAAATAAAATGCGTCGAAGAACTGAGTCTTGATCCGAAAAAAAAACAAATTTTACCAATCGATGGAGTTCGCAGATTCAAACTTTAAAAATTAAATAAATAGCTGGAACGGACTTTCACGACAAACAAAAACGCAACTAGTTTGGATCCTTCTACGTCTTACGATGGTAAACCATTACTTCATGATTTCTGAAGAAAGCGTACGGACCATGAACAATCGGTAAACACTAATCAATAAAACTCATTCAGTTGTATGTCGAACCGGCCTGCAACACTTGAACACCTTCCTGGACGAATATGCGCAGGTTTTAGTAACCATATGCACAGTGAAATCTGATATTTTTAGATTTTCTCACCAATGGTTTCGATTACGATTGATCCAACGTTACCATTAAATAGGACTCGTCAAGTTGTACTTCAAACCTGACTGGAACACCTGGAACACGTTTCTGGACGAATATGGGCAGGTTTTAGTAGCCATACCTCGAAAAAGAAAAGGGAGTACAAGAGAACCTTTTTATGGGATCTGCGATCGGGTAAAACACAGAACCCTTACACATGGTTTTGCATGAAAAAAGGTTTTGTAGTCAACCTCAAATACCATCTCATACTTCTCATGAAAAATGGCTCTGTATGCGAAAAAGCACTTCCCAATCTGCATGATTTCTCGAAAAGCTGCAGCGAATTCTGCGCAAACGGTTTTTTAGTGCACAATCACGCCTTCCCAAAGTCTCATATCATCCAACGCCCATAATTGTACATATGAGATTCGATTCGCACTTAAGATTCATTTCCTAATGAGTTGCAGCAGTTTCCTAAACTCATAGCACTATTATAAACAACAATCATCATAAACCAAGGAAAGCGCATCACAAATCCAAACCAAACGTAGTTCTATCACAAATGACGCCTCATTTGAACCTAAAATTAAAAATCTCCTTTACTAGATTGTTTATATTGATAAACATCACTTACCATACATATCTTGCTTTAGCTGAACCTAAAATACAAATTACATTTATTAGACTGTTTATTTTCATAAGTATCACTCACCATTCATACATAGCTTCAACCAACCTAAAAAAAATCATCTATTAGATTGTTTATATTGATAGATATCACGAACCGTTCACTTGATGCTTGGTCTGATCGAAAATAAAAAAGTTATATATTGGGTTGTTTACATTTATAAATATCACTCAGCATTCATATGTTGTTTGGCGTAGGTAAGCAGATGCCTGAAATTGGTTAGCACAATCAATCCCTAAATAAAAATTCCCATTTTGGCATTTTGATTTGGCGATTTTTTCAATTTAGGGATTCTTTTCAGATGAAATATATCCTGTATTCTATAGTTCAATTCCATTCTTTTTCTCTTCCAAGATCGTATTACCGAACTAAAACTTTTGACGTCATATCTGCTGGAAGTGCATAGTTTGGGTGAGCTAAGCAAAATAAAAAAGATTTTTTCATGAATCTGGTGACCAGAATGTATTTTAGTCTGCCAAAAAGAGAACTTTATAGTAAAGCAAGATACATTCTTGTCACCAGATTCATGGGAAGACTGTTTTTATTATGTTTAGCTATAACCTAAAGAGAACACCTCTAATAGATATGACTTCAAAACTTTTAGTTTTGGTAGTACCGTCCTGGAAGAGAAAGAGAATGGTATTGAACTATAAGACGTATGATATATTTCATGTCAAAATAATGCTTAAATCAAAAAATCTCCAAATCAAAATTCAAAAATGGGGATTTCGATTTATGGATTGGTTGTCGTAACCAGTTTGAGGCAAATGACAGGCATTCGTTGTTTGGTCAGATCTAAAATAAAAAAGTTGTTTATTACATTGTTTATATTAATAACTATCATTTACCATCCATATAAAGCTTGAGGGGAACCTAAAAAATAATTGCAGATCAGATTGATTTTTTGTGTACTAAAAAGGTAGGTACCCTGTAGAATCGGTCAGGATTTCCGTCCGTTCGTCCAACCGTGTACACGATAACTTTTGAAAGGAGAGTCAGATCATGATGAAATTTTCTACATAGTTTAGACTGTGAAAGTTTCGATCGAATTCTTAGATGAGAAGAATTCGTTAAGAAGTGGCTGAGTTATCGAAAAAGTTGTCATTATTGAGGAGGTCGTCATGAGGTTGTGGGTGTGGGTGTGAATATTCATCTAATCTACTTACCTACTCCCAGCCACCTCATATGCACACCCTGTCATCCCACATCCAAACCCACACCCAGCCACCTCACACACACCCAAAGTAGCACGCATCAACTAATTTGAAAAATACAAAATTATAGCTTGCATCTCATTTGGATAAACTGAAAGGTGTGAACAGTGCAATATTTATAAAAAAAAAACTAATGGGAAAACATAAGAGTGAAAAGGGTTGCAGTTGGTACACTGTTCTTTTCCATTACTTTATTCACATCTCTTGCATCTTTTAGCTCAATCGGTAGGGGTGCCGGCTTAGCATTAGTGTTAAGAAAATGCTAATACTTTTGCATTAAGTTAGAAAATTAATTTAATGCTTTGGTATTAGAATTAAAAATTTAATTTAATACTTTGGCATTAGTATTAAGTTAGCATTAGTATCATGCTAATATCTATTATAGTTATGTGTGTTATTTTCAAATATATTGTATGAGTCCTAATATTCGACTCTATTGAGTGAAATTCTTCTTGTATTTCTTTTTTATAGGAAAGCTCTATATACTTCTGAAAAGAAAGGAGAAGAGATGACAGAATATAAATGAATGTATATCTAAAAGTATCCATAGAAAAAAAGCATTTTTAAGAAATATTGATATTGTAAAATGAAAACTCAATACAAGAAACCATACGTAGTGAAGATATTCTGTACTTGCTTGAGTTCCACATGATAAGTATTGAAATGAACACATTGTTAGTATGAAAAAAGATAGCCACTAGCCTGGTTTTATTTTGATGAAGACTATATAAATGTGTATCAAGTATGTTCTACGTCTATGCTTATCTGTCGGAGTGGCCAATTTATATTTATTTTAAATGTAAATTTTTGTTGGATGAAAATTTATATTTGTTTTAAATGTAAATTTTCAAAATTTGAATTTATTTTAAATATAAATTTTGCTTAAGTGAAAATATACACTTATTATAAATATAAGTTCTTAGAATTTAAAATAATATTAGATATAAATGTCTGTTACACCAAAATTTATATTTATTTTAAATTTAAATTGACGTGAATTTAAATCTAAAATAAATTAACAGGAAAATGCCACCTCTACTTATCTGCAATCTTAGAATGCAACAAAAACGCATAGTTCTCGTCAATTCATGTTAATTATAGTGTATAAACGACATTCGTCGTCAGAAATTAATTAAATAGTTGTTTTTATTGGTCTTGTAAATCCAGGAATATATACTAAATCATCCTGCCAATGTTTATTTTATCGGTTCAGATAAGCAAAAGATATATGAGAAATAAGACAAGAAAAAATAAAATCAAATAAAATCAACATCTAGTTCATTGATGTTGTTATTGAGAAAATGATCGAATCTTTTCGATATTATTTTTCTTCTTCAATATCATTAAACTACGTAATGATAATGATGACATTGATGCTCTTCGAAGATTTTTTATTGCACCAGCAACGCTAAATGTTTGTTCTAAGTAGACGGATGTAGCAGGTACTACATTGTAACGACGTACTAGTTGACTTAAACGTGGTAAAGCACGACAATTTGTTTTCCAAAAAAGTTGAAAATTCATTAATTCATTGTCTCGAACTAAATTAAGAAATGCAGCCATTTCAAGATCAGGGGTTATTGGCTGAAATGATAATGGTATACTGGTCTTTTTCTTGGCAATAGCCATCAAGCTTGATTTAAATTCTACCATGCGATTAGAAGCAGTCGTTGTTGAAAGAATTGATGATGTACTTGATGATGGTGATGCTGAAATATCAGATGCCGTAAGACTGATACGCTGCATATCTTCCATAACAACACATTTGGCTGTTTCATAATCTTTTTTATTCAACATTAAGTCGCCATGAAAGAGTGGATCAAGAAAAGCTGCTACCTATGAAGAAGAAAAATGAACTATGAAAAATGTTGAAGCAGGACTAACAATGAATTCGTGAGTTCATGAATTATTTATTATTAAAACGGGTGTTTTTTTACTTTCGGTTTCTCATAGTACAAATCTCGACTAAAAATATTAATAAGAATTAGTTCGCTTCAGTCATAGCTATACAACTTTCGCAGGAAAATTACTTAAAACGAAGAGTTCAAATATAACTTCTCACTTTCATGATAATTTTTTGATCACTTGGTAAAAATTCATCAAGATAATATTCGTATTGACAACTTAAACTTTTGTTGATTATCGCATGATAATAGCTTGGATCAGATGTTTGATAAAAATTTTCCTTTAGCACTTGAAGAGCATAATAAGACAATGCTTGTGTTGTATAATCACCAGATAAAATTGTTGTCACTTTCTCGAAAGGTAAAAGACAATCTCGAAGTGCATTTAATAATTCCCAATCATCATAAGTGAATACTAATGAACGAAGCTTGACTTTTTGTGCTGTTGTTAATCCATTTATATCGCGTTTGGTAAAAATTTCATCGACTAAATTACGATGGTTTATAATACGATCAAGCATCTTAAACGTACTATTCCAACGGACCTGAAAATAAACTGATCAATATAGTTACAGCTGAGAATTAAAACTTACTTTAGAATCTAAAATAAAAGCACCTTTCTTAGGATCAATTCGTTGATGTACATAACGTTGTAGAGCGCCAACTAGACGAGTCATAGTAACAAATGTACGAGCTTTCTGAACAAGACGATGAATACGAACAAGAAGATCAAAAATATCTTCATTCAATATTGGTTTTTCACTTGGAATGTTTTCTTCCACCAGAGGAAAAGCAAAATAATCAACCTAGTGTAAATGATTGGAGAAAATATAATAAAAAAGATCGTTAAATTTCATGACATCTTACAGGTTGTTGAGTATTGTATTGAAATAAATCTTGTTCACTTTCATTAAAAATTGACGACAGATAAGGTAAATCTTCAGCTGTCAATTCATCATCCTCATCATCGACAAGAGGAGTACTTATCGGTTCGTGCATAGTATCAAATGGAAATCTAGAATATTGCAATATTGCATTGATGATAACTATAGTTAAAATGGAATATTTATGTCCAATTTATATTAATCTAGATATTATATTAAGTATAATGAATAACGTTATCGTTTGGATGTTTCTATATTTCAATACCTAGAACATTATCCTCACATTACGAAGAAACTGTTGCTTCTATATACAAGTGCAAAAGGCCTAGATAGGCCTTTTGCACTTGT